TTTAACAAAAATAAACTTCAAGTTAATTAAACAAAAAGAACGGTGTATATTTTTATTGTATTTAATGATGTATTGAAAAGAAGAGATTATGCAAACGTGTAGTTGGTGCTGCAACTTGCATTGAAGAATTGTATATATTCATATCACAATATGAAGGATCTGTGTTTCATGAGAAATATGAGTTTTTTGTATATGGATTACATTTAAAATATGAGCTTAGAAACCGCAGGCAGACAAAGAGTGAATTCACTGAACTAGGCTGAGAATATGTCTAGGATGAAAATAAGATGAATGTACAAATTATTTTGGTCATTGAGGTATTAATAGATAAATTATTATTAAATAATCCTATTAAAGTATCGCTAGATTTCCATTTAGTACTGAGTTCCTTAAAGACCAAATAGCGCCAATTCGCTTTATTTAGGAGAATTTGAATTTGAAGAATTTAGTCCTTTGGCTTCAATCGTATTTCATTATTATTGTCAATTTTATTATATTTAACGAGTAATAAATTTCCAGGCCTGTCAGTTTATATATTTGACGCACTGCTTTACAGTGCATAATTCCAAATTTGCACTGCTTTCATTTAGCAACTGTTGGATTAGCCAAGACACGCACCTTTGATAAGGTTGGTAACTAAATTTGAATTTCAGACAAACTGTAAATAGCGCACAAGCAGTGAAATGTTAGTGTACTGTTAATTAACATTTTTCATCGCACCTAACCACAGGTTTCACCTAATTTAATTTTAAGGAATGGAATTTTAAATATGTATATAATACGATTTTACGCAAATTCCTGTATAATAAGTTTGTAAAACTATTTTGATACAGTATCATTAATAAATTCCATTAGTCATCCAGTCTTTTCTCATAATACCATATCAGTTTTATTTCCATTTAAAATTTATATACTGACACCGAACCGAAATCTAAAATTTCTGAAATATATGAATTTATATATATACAACAGTTCTGAATACAGTGACCAGGGCCTGAATTGAATGCAAATTTTGAGAATGTCAGATACCCGAGTCCCAGTACCTTTGTCCTAGCCATTTGACGGCTTCCAGCCGACCTTGGTCCACCTTCCAGATGACACCATTTCTGTTCGCCTCGAGGACTTCGACTAAGCTCTTACCGGCCTGTTTCGTCGTCTGTGTAGGATGTATTAGAAGCAACTTGCCCACGCAGGGTTCAACATTAAGCCACGAGTTACATTTATTCTTCAATGGATTTTGCGTAATACCCGGATTAAACGAAAAGGCTGTTACGCCTGTGAGGGGCGCCAGTTTCTGTGAAGAAAAACGTTAATGAGATTAAGGCATATAGATGCAGTAGATCTCCAGCTAATTACCGCTAGCGAGATAGTGAAGCTAAGGACTGCCGCCTTCGAGGCACTGTAAACAGGCAGTTGATAAATTGGATTGAAGGCACTCGCAGAGCAGAGGTTGGCGATAACGCCACCCGGGCCCCCTCTGCGCTTGTCCCAAAAGTCCATGATGGCTGTTGTGGTGTTTACTGTGCCCTTGAAGTTCACATCAACTGTTTTCGCGATCTGATGCTCGTCCAGCAGTCCGGCCCCATTGATTAGCAAATCAATTTTCTTATATTCCTCAAAGACTTTGTGCAGCAGTTCCCTGCTGGCCTCCAAAGGCAGAGTGACATCATATTTATAGAACTTAATATTTGCTTTCTTATTGATGCGTTTCAGTTCCTCCATAGCCTTTGGCTTGATCGATCTACCAAAAATCAGCAGATTCTAAATGAACAAATCGGTTAGCCTTGCGTTTCATTAGACTTTGTTGTCGATTTTTCACCTTTGGTCCCTTTTTAAGAATCTCCCGACTGGCGCCCATACCTATACTACCCAGGCCGGCGACAAAAATTATATTTCTGTCAGCGATTCTTCCCTGTTTTATTTGTTTAGTTCCCTTTCCTCTTAATCTTCGCAGTAGCATAGAGCTTTTCTTACCTCCTTTTGCGCTCTCTTTTCGCTCTTTACTTTTCCTGATATTCAACATTTCTCTTTTTTCCGCGTCCTCTTTGAGCACCTGGTTAAAGCAGAGTCAGTTATAATGGAACTTTTCAATTTTATTATGTGAGAATTGAGAGTAAACGATTAGCAAATATACAAATTCTTAGAACTCCCTACACTTAATCTAAAATTTATAGTCGTGGATTATCTAACGAGAAATATATTTTGCATCCTCAGTGGCTTTTACTGCCTAAAAGGAAAAGGTTGACAGCCTTATTCCGCTTATGGTATTTAAAATTATATTTCCGTTAGATTACGAATATACAATATAACCAGACAGAGACAGAGAGAAACACACAGAGAGAGCAACATTGTCTAAATCTAGATCCAGACTCACCTTAATCAGGTGCTTATATTTGGCTTTAACATGATTTGTGGCTCTCTTATCACAGTCGTTCGGATCGTCTGGTTCGTTCCACCTTGAGTATGTACGAAAGGAGAATTTATGGTCTGTTGGATTGCGTTGAATATGAGAAAAGGCATTGCGTTCTCTGGGTATTTTGCAAATGTATCTGGCTGTGTTCGAGATCCCATTCAGCAGCACTGCAGGGAGAATGTTCATTTTCTAATACTAATAAAAAAAATTAATTTTAAAATGACAATTTGTTTCAAATTTTGAAAAATTCTACCGATCACTTGGTTGGCCAGCCAGCAGGCTTAGTCTTTAGATAAATCGTACTTGATTTATATGATACTTTATAAACAGTTACTTCTTGTTGAGCGTATACGCAATATTGAGTCGGCAGCTTATTTGAAGGCATTTGAAGACCTGATAAAAATCTGGCAAGGCATCTATAACTTACAGAAACAGAAAGAGATAGAGATAGAGAGAGAGAGAGAGATAGGCAGAGAGTTAAAGAAAAAGACACAGAAATAGAGAGTTTGAAAGTGATCCAAAAATGTTTCCGATCGATCGGGTTAAGACATAATCGATAAGGCATAACATGGATGCTAAACTGATGGCAGGATTTGGGAAACTATTTTGATGATAATAAATTATGATTAAAAATTAAATTGATTGAACTTTGTTTCAGCCATCGAAATCTGATCAGCTCAACAGGCAGTCAGAGAGAACGCTAGAGACTTTAAATGATAAAGTTGAAAAAAAAACTAAACTTGAAACAACTTAGAAGCCCAGGGTATTGCAAGTCGGACCCTCTCGAATTCCATTCTTAATGCATTAAGTCAGTTTTAATTTTGTTCTGGGCGCAAAAGAAAATGAAAAACAGCACGAGGCAGAGCAACATTGGGCTGCTAAGCATCCACTGAGCTCTCATTAGCCCATTTGTGACTATTGACGGTAAACAATGCCAAGCTTTGACTCAGACTTGTGGTGCAGCACGAACTCTGGTTTTCCCTGGAGCCTACGCTCAGTGGCTGCCCTGTTAAGCAAGCGAAGAGAAATGCTCGAAGCAACGGGCCACAAATTTATGACTTCAAGGTTCTGGCGCGAAAACGAGCACGGAAATGCGAACGAAACTGGGAACAGGAATGGGAATGAGATCGGGAACGGGAATGGAACGGGAAAGGGAAAGGGAAATGGAAAGAGCGGCCTCTGGCTGCTAACTACCGAAATTTACGATCGGCGCATTTAGGTGGCCCATTGTCCGCAATGTTTATGCAATGTTTTCTGATTTTATATCAACAGCTGGAATTTGTGGAGCTGTTGCAGTCGGCTTTCTTTGTGGGCGTTGGGGAATGACACTTTCGACCAAAGATTGCAAAGATAGCCCCTCTCCTTGCCTATTATCTAGTCGTCTGTCCAAAAATATTACAGCAGATAACACGATGCAAGCAAATTGTTATATTCCTGCAAACAAGTCGATTTGCTAGACCAAATCGGGCGCAATGCTAAATGGTCAAAGATTTAGCTGAATTCTTAGAAATTTCCCAGAGGCTTCAGCTGATCTCATATGAGCTGCCGCTGAGGGCATTTGAAAAACAATTTGGATTCATTTGGTCTTTGCACAACTGCCAAAAATAGAAGTGGACCCAGAGCCGCCACTGGATTGGCGTTTGCTGCGCTCAGCTGATGAAAACGACTCTCGGTTTTCAGACCTTACAATTTCACATGTGGGTTGAACATGATGAGCCAATTGCTGTGCTTGCAGTGAATGTGTGTTACCGGGTCTGTATGTTAAGCACTTTCTGGCCGAATCCCATACCAAATCCCAATAGTCTGAATGTGGCACAAACAGTATCAATTACCAATTGTTTATTTTACAACGTGTTCTTGATGTTGTGGCGGCTGCTGCGGCTGCCGCTGCTGCTGCTATTGCGACAATGCCTGGTGGTCGGGTCGGTCTTTGTTTGTGGGCTGGTTTGTTGAGGCTCGCCAGCTTTGTGAATCCATCAATTGGTCGTTATCTTGATCGGAAACAATCGCAATCTGTCTACAATTTGTGCAATGTTTTGGTGAAATTTTTCTTCTTCTTCTAAGGTTAATAAATTAGGCTTTTCAGTATTAGTATAAGTTGTCTTTAATTTTGTTTAGTTTCAGCAAAACTAATCATCAAAAAAACCAAAGATTCAATTGCTTTTCGTCTGCTTATTTGATGTGGACAAGTATTTATATACATGTGCACATTTATATCATATATAAAAGCTTAAAGCTTTCTTACTGAAAGCTTAAATATTCGATGTACGTTTTGTTACTGTTTATTTTTAGTCGGCGATTGAATCACCGGCTCGTTGGTCTAGGGGTATGATTTCCGCTTAGGGTGCGGGAGGTCCCGGGTTCAAATCCCGGACGAGCCCAAGTAATATGTTTTTTATTTAAATTTTTTTTTATTTTATTTATTTTTTTTTTTATCATTAATAGGTGTAAATAAGTATGCGACAGAAGAGAATTAGTTTTATGGCATTAAAATTATTAGTCAGAGCATATAATAAAGACACTCAGAATTAAGTTTTGTTTTGGTCTGCCTACCTTTTGATAACCTGTTGTCAATTCAGTCTATGTACATTTGTAGATGATTCGTTAGTTCAGTTTTGCGTAGCCAGACGACTATTATTTTAAATTTTCAAAATTTTAAAATCAAATTTTTCAATTTTAGCTAAAATGAAATATTTTCCTGAATTGCTGAAGCATGGAATAGCATGTACACCCAGATACGTTTCCAAAGTATCCAGTAGTAAGCCACACAGTCTGTCCAATTCTAAGCGTAAGTCAACAGATGGCGACCATGTTTGGAAGATGTCTTTGCTCAAACGGTTAAAATCAAACAACACAGAGGACCAGAAAAAGGTAAGTGTGTAGTTATTATATTTAAAACATATATATAAAAAAAAAAAAAAAAAACAAACAAAGATGGCAACAAATAAGTTAGGATATGATTTCCCTCTTCCCTGATATTGTCCAAAAGTTACATTAGGAAGTGACTAAATACTACTACGGAATTCAAATAATTCAGTCGTTAATATTTATTTTCATCAAATCAGATATTAATTTTTTATTTCTTTGATAGCAATATTATAACCTTCATTTTAATTAAAGTAATAACATATATCCGCGCATTGGGCTCGTCCGGGATTTGAACCCGGGACCTCCCGCACCCTAAGCGGAAATCATACCCCTAGACCAACGAGCCAGTTGTTTTTCGCCAACCGCCCAAAATTTATTTATATCGTATTTGCGTTTTTATCTTAAAGAGACTGATTTTAAGGTAAAAATAAATAAATGTGATTTAAAACAGTGTCACTACTAATTTGGTTGCATATAGTCGTCTTTATTTAAGAATACCGGTTATTCGTTTTGTCATACTCAAATAGCGTCTTTGGCGAGATCGCTTCAACTGGCTCGTTGGTCTAGGGGTATGATTTCCGCTTAGGGTGCGGGAGGTCCCGGGTTCAAATCCCGGACGAGCCCAAATAGTAAAAAACATTTTTATATTTTTTATTTTTGTTTTTTTATTTCAAACTATAAACAATTATTTATACTTTTTTTTTAATTTTTGCACAAATAACGACTTAATTGTAAAAAATATAATATATTTTGCGTTTGCCACCAAAGTGGTACGAATAAAATTTCATCAGTAGTAAATATTTGATTAATACCAATGGTTAACAGAACAAATAGAGTTTAATTTATTAATATTTATAATGCAGTTATATGCTTATATGTGTAATATGCATTTATGTATGAATGCAAAACAATTTTGATTGAAGATTAAAGAGAAAACCTAACAAACTACTGACAATGCCATCTACATATAATAGTTGAGCATATTTATGGTTTAACTGCTGTTATCGGTTTATTTTTGTTTTCTTTTCAATTTGGCCTAAAAACTACACATAAGTAAATGACACATTTAATGGACATAGAAAGTTTGGATAAATGTTACAGATACAATACAATAATAAAATAGCTGATAAATACATAAAATGTTTTTGTCAACAAAGAAAATCCGATTTTAGCCAATAATTAATAAACCAGCAAGTAGCTAGTTTACGATGATCTTGTTCTTGTTGGTTGTTGTGTGTATTATTGTGATCAGTTTTTCCATTGCTCAGCGTCCCTTCCAGCTAATGGCGGAGGGGGGCGAACAGTCGTTGTTAGTGTAACTCAATCTCGTTCTCCTAATCGCTCCTGGTTAAGAGAATCTGCAGCAACATCACCAACATCATCTTTGTTAGCCAACTTCATATTTATGTATTTCCATTCGATTTTGCATTTGGTTTAAGTTTGTTGTTTTTTTCTTGTTTTTTTTTTTTTTTTTTTTTTACATGTTAAATATATAAAATAATTTATTTATTATTAGCACTAATTATTCTTTGGTTGTTCCACTGGTTTTGTTGTTGTTCTTGTTCGCTCTTGGTTATGGGTTTGGGTTTCCATTCAATTCAATAGCTTTAGCGTTTCATTATTTCATTGTTGTTCATTGTGCTTTTTCCTGTTGTAATTCATTGTCAGGGTTGTGCTGTTGCTGTATGTTAATGACGGCAGCCGTTTTATACGTTCGTTTGTGACTGGATCCCTTTGAATTGGGCAGGTTAATATTATTAGCAGCTGCCGTTGTTGTTGCTGAAGCTGTCGTCGATGATGCTGGTGATGTTGTTTTAGCAGTGGACTTTCGTAATTTCTTTCCAAACGTCGAGTTGCCTTTCAGACCTTTAATAGAACAAAGCAAGAGACATGAATATTATTTTGCTTAAGACAATTCGAATGAATTTTTACATGTAAAAATCATATGAGTCTGTGCTTGAATGTGTGTGCGTGTTTGTGTGTGTGTGTGTGTTAGTGGAAAACAACGTGTAGATTATCTTATGCACAAAAAGAAATGCTTTTACACTCCACACCCGATAATAGAATAGACAACAAATACATTTATCGCTGTTATGTAGGCTAGCTAAGAGAAGAGAAGAATAGATGGATAGAGGACCACAGTGAAATACGTTATAGACAGTGGGTAGAGATTTAGAGAATTAGAAATTTGTTGTACGGCGGTGCTCAGATCAGCGTGATAGGAAAGTGAAATGCAATTCGTTTACCTTGAAAACATAAACGATTCTGATAGATGGCAAATATATCGTAGGGCTTGTAGCACGGCTCATAGGCTAGCTCAATGTCAGCGGTATCGATATCGTTGCCGGAATCAGAAATGTTTGTGGCAGACGACGTTTGGCAACGACTGAGCTTATGGGAGGGTATCACAAACTGGTTTTGCTCCATTTTATCGGGCTCTCTCGATGCCGTTACGGGGTCTGTGTCTGGGTCTAGAGATGCTGTTGTTGTAGCTGTTGTTGTTGTTGTTGTAGATGTGATTCTTGTTGTGTCTGTATCAACCATTATTTGTGGTGGGCTCTGAACAGGCTTTTTGTTTTTGTTTTTTTTTTTTGTATTGTTTGGTTTTTGTTTTTGTGTTGCGGAAGATGGTAACAAAGTGTATTAGTTTTTGGTATTTCTTTAGTTTAAGTGTTAGTCACAGATATTTTATACATAGAGTTGCTCTCTCGTCTACAGACAATCAATATTCAAATATAAACAAGCAGAGCTATCTACCTCACTGTCCTGGCAGGCAGCGTCCTCCTTCGATCCCGTGGTCAGGCCCTGCACAAAGTGCACATCGCTGCCTGGATCCTCTGAGGCCAAGTGGGCGCGAAATTGTCGATTTCTGTAAATGAAAGTGAAATATCGATTGAAATTCGTCTGATAATTCAAAGGGTGTGAATAGTTTACCTCAGCTCCAGTTGCTGCATTTGCTGGAAGTGCCGCAACTTGCCATTGGCCTGGTGCAGCTTCTCCTCCAGTGCAGCATTTTCCACACATTTTATGGAATACTTTTCAGAGAATGACAGAATCTCCATGCGCAGTTCGTCGAGCTCCTCTCTGCAAAGAGTGTACGATGGGAATTATTGAAATGTGAAACGCTCGCCACGTTTCTTTCACTGTGAGCACTTACTCCTTCAGCTTGGCGCCATCTCCGCGTATGTGCTCCCCGCGCTGCACCTGACGCAGGAACTCGGCTTTGAAACGTGCCACCTCGCGTTGCACCTCGCTCTGATGGGCCTTGCGCATAGCATCCAGAGCAGCCAGAGTTGCCTGGAATTATAACAGGAGGGTTGTGTTAAGATCCACATAGAAAGCGAATGGAAAAGTTAATACGAACCTGCGTTTCCTCAGCTAACGCTGTTTCCTTCTCCGCCAGCAGACGCTCAATTTCCTGCTTGTGCTTCTCCTCCATATCGCAGATAAGTCGACGATGCGATGACTCCATGGCACTGAGCCCCTTCTCGCATAGTGTCTGTTGGGATAGATGAATGCATTAGTGATATATCGATATATGATTATGGATAGACCTACCCTTAGCTGTTCGATTTCTGTCTGATAGCGCTTCCGGAAGCTGAGTTCGTCTGGGGCATTGGCATGCTCGTGGCTATACACCTCCCTGAGGCACTCCAGCTGCTTGCCGTGCTCCTTCTCTAGCAGATCAAGACGTTTCTCCATGCGCTTGCAGCGCTCCTGCTGCTGGCCCAGTTCGTCGCTTAGTTCATTGCGCTGCTTCAGCAGCAGCTGCTGCTCCTGCTCCTGGCTGACGCACTTCTCCAGGGCGGCTGCCAATTCGCTCTCACGCTGCTCCAGCAGCTGCTCGCTGCGCTGCAGATCCGTTTCGGTCTGCTGGTGGAGTGCTGTCAGCTTATCGATGCGCTGCCGCAGCTCACAGCATTTATGGCAGGAGTCCTGCAGGCACGACAATTCCATTTGCTCGCTGACCAGCACACAGGTCTCGGTTAGAGCGCGCTCCAGTTGCCTCAGTCCGTCCTTTCGCTCGTTCAGTGGCGACACCGAGCGACGACTGCGATGGCCCGCACGCAAATGCTGCAATTGGGTCACACTCTGCTCGAGTCGCTCCTTGCTGCTGAGCAGGACATGCTCCAGACTGTGGAGTCGCTGCAGCAGATGGGCATTCAGGGGCGACGATTGACTGCTGGACTCGCTGCTAGACTCGGTGGTGCTTGGGTTGGTGCTGGGCGTCGACTGGCGCTCCACGGTTTCGCGTTGCAGCTCGCTCAGCTTCAGCTCCAGCTGCTCCTTGCCCTTCAGCGAGAGCGAACGCCGTCGCTCCGATTTGGCCAGCTTCTGTTTCAGCGCACGCACCTGTCGCTCTGAGGTGCTATACTTGATCGTCAAGTCCTGAATGCGAGCGGCCATCAATTGCAGCTGGGCCCCATCCTCCATCTGGCTGCGCTCCAGCTTCTGCTGCAGCGCTGTTTGGATCAGCTCGAGGGCATCGTATTGATTCTGGGACTGCTTCAGTTCACGCTTCATGGCGCGAATCTCGTTGACGGCCTTCTCGAATCGACTGCGCAGCTCGTTGTATTCCTCGGCCAGCGAGTCCCGCTGCAGGCAATAGGGATCGATGTCGCTGATCGTGGTCAGATCGCTCAGGGAGTCCATACGCTTCATTTTGTGACGCTGCAGATTGCTCAGGCTGGCCACCTGACTATTGCCCGCCTGGAGTTCGCGCAACCGTTTATATAGACTTTCGTTCTCCTCGATGCCCTGCGCCAGTCGATCCTCCAGCTGTTTGATCTTGCACTGGCTCTCCGTCAGCTGCACGCTCAGGCCGTGCACAAGCTCCGCTGCGCTCTGCTTGGCGCTGTTCAGCTCGGCATTCAGCTGCTGTTGCTGCTCCTGCAGTCGCGCCGTCAGCTCCTGCTCCGTGCGCTGCAGCGTCGAGAGCAGCTCGGACATGCGTGCCTCTCGCACCTTCGCCTCAGTACGCAGTGTTTCGCACTGTTGCTTCA